GCGTCCCACCGCTGCCTCCAAACACGCCTGGACGGCGGGCACCCGTGTGCCGCCACCCACGATCTCGGCGGACGACAGCGTCTTCAAGTCCTGTACTCCGGCGAGACTGAGCGCGCGCTGCACCAATGTTTGAAGACTGGCGAGGTACGGGCCGAGTAGGTCTTGCAAAATTTCGCGGTTCAACGGGACGTCCAAGTCTTCGTCTTCGAAGAAGCACTCAAGGTGCACACCCGCATCTTTGTTCGCGGACAAAATCTTCTTCGCCTTCTCGGCTGCCTCCTCCAGCTTCAGCATCGCCTTGGCGTTCCGCGACGGGTCCAGACCTGTCTTGCTCTTAAACTGCGCGAGCAGGTGCTGCACCACCACCTGGTCGATGCTGCGTCCACCCAGCGCCGAGTCTTCAAGTGTGGCCAGTACCGTGAACTTCTTCGGCGTGTAGTCCACCACCGTGGCGGTCGCCTGAGCGTACCCGATGTCCGTAAAAACCACCACGTGACGCTGGCCCTCCACGAACATCGAACGCCGGAACAAGCCGTAGTCCAAGGCCGTCGCTGTCGAGTGCTGCATCACCTTGTGACATCCGATGCCTGCCAACGAACAAGCGTCCAACACCGCCGTCTTGTGCACGTCCGAATACCATGTCGGCACCGCCACCACGCAGTCGCTCACCGGCGCCCCAATGTAGCTCTCGGACATGGCCTTCACCTTCTTCAAAAATGGCACCAACGCTGCCACCGCCGTCACAGGCTCCTCGCGACCCACACTAAACGCTATCACGCGGTTTTCCGCCACCACCGGCTCCGCCAACGCGAACCGCCGCTCCAACTCCACTACGTCTCGGTCCTCCGCCGTGTCCGTCATGCCCAACTGATGCTTGATGTTCCGGATCGTCGACCGTGCATTCGACTTCAACGACGTAAAAGCCGCATCGCCAATCAAACGCTCATTGTCTGTGTAAGAAACCAACGTCCTAGAACACAAAAAATCGGGAGATTGCAACCCAGTGCAGCCGAACGAAACGCCCATCAAATTTCCAACCCGCCAACCATTGTCACTGTTGTAACAACCGGTTGTGACAGCAGCCCTTCGGACCAGCCCTTCGGACCAGCCCTTCGGACCAGCCCTTCGAGGCAGCTAAAGCGCCCTTCCAGAATGCATCAAAGAACCCACTGGCACTTACGGAGTAACGCGGTCAGCTAAGTCATTCCTCACAATGGTCACACCTCCTCTGCCAACGGTAGCCACCTTAGTACCGAGGCAACCCAAGTCGATCCCGATGATTGGCATCCTTTTTAATTTTTTGGAAGAGAAAAAAATGTACCGCAATTTGTTCCCCCACGGCCTCGACTTAGTGCAATGACTTTCCCTGCGTTTACTCGGACTCGATTCCACAAAACGGAGAATTGGGTTCGCACTCGGAGGCCCGGCCTCACACACCCAGAGATCCATACAGTTTGAGACTCGCTTCGGTTTCGTTCCAAAGACTTGACTCTAGAGGCTATCACCTACAGGTCGCTAGGCCTCGCTGGAGCGGTCGCGTAGTTCCCGAGGGAAGCAGGACCCTGAGAAAGCAAGCAGGACTGGGAGACACGGCTGGGATTCGTCAGGACCGCGATAGACCGGCATTGGGTTACTAATGGAAGGAGGGCTTTGCTGGCACGTTCTGGAAATACTCGGCGCAGTTCTACAAGGTCACAGCTCGACCAGTACAGTACAGCTTGACCTAGTGTATGGCGTGGCCAGAGTGTGGTTTTTGAAATAAAAAATTGATGAGGGAGTGGACCGGCCCATGGCCGCCTTGCAACAAACACGGAGGGCACGGAGGAGGTTCATACAGGCGGCGACCGGAAGAGAACTGGCGTTCGGCGCCTGTGCCGATCCGGAGAGTTTCGTACGAGAGCATATCTCCGAAGATGTCCGGCCATCCAGAGTCGCCACGAAACGACCGGAAAAGGAGAGTGCTATCACCAGTAGTACAAGACCCTGTCTCGCCTCTGAGGCGACCCAGACGGTCGTCTCCGATAAGTAGTTCCAGGAGGGCTTCTCCGTACTCAGATCGATCGAAGCGAGGACACGACTCGGATAGACACCGACGTCGTTCTTCTTCGGATCCGCAAGACCTCGAGCCAAACCGGGCAGATTCGTCCCGGATGGACCTCCCAGGTCGGTTGGACCCTGGTCGGCGAGATCCCGAAGCTTTAGACAAGCCGGTCGTGGACCGAGGGCTGGCTCGGGAGTACGACCATCCTCGCCGAGACTACGACCGATACCAAGAGGTTGACCGGAGGCGTGACTACGACCCGCGAGTTCGGCTGGACTACCGAGAGAGAGATAGGCGCCACGACGAGAGGAGGTACGAGGAAAGGCGGTACGAGGACCGGCGGTACGATGACCGACGGTACGACGACCGACGGTATGACGACCGAAGGTATGAAGACCGAAGGTATGACGACCGACGGTATGACGACCGACGGCATGACCACCGACGAGCGGAGGAGAGGCGCCTGACGGAGGAGAGACGCGTGGAAGAGCGACTGGTGGAAGAGCGGCGGCTGACGGAAGGGCGGCGAGTGGACGAGAGGGAGAAGCGCGGAGGCCGGCGGCCGGAGGAGCCGGTAGGGGCTGGCGGGTGGTCGGAGGAGC